AGAGAGAGAGAGAGAGAGAGAGCGAGAGAGAGAGGAAGAGAGGGGGCCTCTCCAATGACTCCGAGAAGTCGAAGCTCTTCTCTCGAATTTTAGAATAAGACGAAAAGAAAACCAAATTTAAAAATGAACAACTAAAAGCATGCACTCCGTTACTTGATTGCTCACAGACGTTGGAAAACCGACAGAGTGCGCTAACGTGGTGGTATGACTTACGAATTGCCAAAAGAAAGTCGGCCGTCATATTGGTTGGATGTCTGCCCCAACGCACTGAAATAGAATTTTGATAATAATATAATATGGTGACATGTACTTCATGAAGCTTTTGTTATTCTGCAGTTTTCATGGAAGTGTGTTCGTGGTGGTAGAACCATTATTAGGGGAGAGCAGGGAGGCCTCGGACACGCCAATTCTAGCTGAGCTTTTGATTTTACACATTTTGTCACTAGATCGCATAATGGGTCATTTAAGGTTTAGCTTGCTGTGTTTTTTGTCACGTCACTGCGCGAAAGTTTTGCATCTCCTGTAAAAAAAAATTATGATTTTTACAAGAGTGTATCTACCTTTTCGCGCCTCAGTTTGTAAGGTTTTCAAGTCCTAATAGTGCACTAGTCTTTTCACGAAACAATGTAGATCTATCTGTGCTTTAGGGTGTCTGTTTCTTGTCAGATTTATAAAATTAAACCACCAAGCTTTCAAGTTGTCTGTTTCATGAATATGTTTCCAACACTACCCTTATCCTTATGTAGGGAGACTTCGCACCGGGGTGAGGGGGGGAGGGGGTGACCTCGTACACAGTCAGACGTCTACTGAAACTAATGTAAGAATAGTTCGAATCAGTTTCTATGAAATTTGAATTCTAAAAACGTAGAATATACGTGTGTTATTGTACTTCCCAGACTGAACCATGTCAAGGAAATATAGAGCCATGAAAAGAAAAAGAGCCTTTAGATTCTCAGAAAGATGAAACTCGCAAGGCGTATACTCGTCAATGACTCATTGTCTTTGCGTCGTGCAGAAGCTATATACAATGTGAAGAAATCCACTTGGAAAGACTCTATTTAAAACGATGTGAAGACAACAGTGCGTTTTGGACACACTCGTTTACGATTGCACAATTTTTTTCATAATCCTCGGAAAAAACCCATCTCGGAGTATTTGATAACATTTCAAAGTTGTTTTTACCCGATGTTTGTCATTATTTATATCGTATGTCATGGCGGACATGATAATCATACCAAAAACATAGACTATGAACAAAATCTTTCGGAAAAGACTGGCTTTCTGAGTTCTGGGTCGAAAGTGAAGCCTTTCCCATGGAACCTTTGTCATTGAACTTGGGATTATTGGGACGTGTGTCCACTTAGTTGGGAACTGGTGTCAGAGAAAGACGAAGAAAGGGTGACTTTGAGAGTCTTCCCTACGAAAATCTAACAGGAAAGTAATTCTTTCATCTATCCACCTATGGAAGATTTGGCTATTGTAGAATGATCCCAGTTATTCCCCCTCCGATGTGAGGCTCAACAAAGAATTCCAAAAGCTCCTATAAGTTTGCCTTTAAGTGGCAACCTTGAATGTTTCGTGGGCATTGAAGTCTCCAGTGCGTTTGAATTTCATCTTCCAAAGCTCACCATAGTGCAACACTCAAAGTTCTTTTCAAAAATAAAATTCTGATTTATTTTTTTAAACCTGCAGAACGTAGAAGAATGTTCAGGTCTCAAAGTGAATGGTGGAAATATTAATAACATCAGATTTTCCGATACCACAGTTTTAATAGCAGACTAATAAAATGACCTTCAATCGCTTCTAGATACTGTTGTAACACAAAGTGAACGTAAAGGATTGTTGTTGAATGTAAAGAAAACAGAATGCATGGTAATATCCCAAAAAGCAGCAAATCCTATTTGTAGTCTCTTTAGCACAGGTGAAAAGATCAAACAAGCCCAACAGTTTAAATATCTAGGCTATTTTAGGGCAAGCGAGGCAGGGGTAGGCTCAGAGCAACCGGCTTAGGGAACCTAAACATATGGGTAACGGGGAACTATCTGGGTAACGTGACTTTTTGAGAGCATCCGAGCAAAGGAATGGATGGAGAGGAGAATCATGATCGCCGATGTCTGTCGCAGATCTGGCTCTGGATGAATGAATGAATGAATCTATAGACTTTGTTTTCCCTTAGCTATTTGATTTGGTTGCTGTACGCCTCGTGGAACACTTTGACTGTCAGTTCATTTGAGATGGCGGACCTCCGATGTTAAATCTTTCTTCGTCAGGACGTGATGGGAAGCCTTCACCCCCGTTCCCAAACAGCCCATGTTCAAGAACACAACTACCTGGATTCGAACCAGAGGGCAGCACTCGGAGAAAAACAGCAAAAATAGCTTAGCAAATGGAGCACCTACAAAAATACTGTGCTCTCACCAAATCCAGACCTTGGCAGACTCGGAAACTAACGGGAAAAGAATACTTTTTACCACTGTTCATCACTCCAAAAAGTAGCTTGATGTTAGAGGCATGAGGCATAACAGAGCTCTGTTTTACAATGATAAAGGGTGATATCAAGTTAACACGCACATAGGTGCATAAAAGCGGGCTGGTGCATATATATACAGTGGCGTCCAAGAGAAACTTGAAAACGTAATCATTGATTAAAGCCTCTCATAACCTACTCATGCAGGATACCAATTTAAAGCTAAATAAATTCCTCATCATCTGACACATAGTAATTCATCTATATTAAGAGACTCCCGAGATGTGGTCACTCTAAATTGACTGTAAAAAATCAAGCTCGACAAAATTATGCGAAATCAAAGACACGTAAAATTGTTTTTGCGCGTGTATTGATGAGCATCAGTATTGATAGAATGGACATACATTACATATCCAATGATAGGAGACTTTTGTATTGCAATAAACAATATTCTGTTTTGATATTTTATCACGATGGTTTCAAACCAAACGGAAAACAGAGCAATCGCAAATGCAATGCAAAACTTGGACTTATCCTTAAATGTGCTCATTATTATTTTACATATGAGCCATTGGTTCTGTGTCGAAGAGGAGCCCTTTGGACATCGACTCTATTAGATTTTGGACTTAATTTGCTGACATTTTATTCCTATTGTCACTGAGGGTTGCAAGGAAACGGTCTGAATTGGGGGCAAAGTCGTGTTTCTGAAGGTGCTGTTTCATGGTACTTCACTTTTCACATACCTGTAGGATTTACATCGGGGATTACTATATTACCTGTCCTTGGCAACGACGTCAGTTCCCCCAGCACTAAAGCCCGCAAGGTACATTTTGTATCCATACTGATTGTTCCGGTGGCTGTCTGATTATGGCGACGTCTTTCCTTTCCAGATAATCGTTCCTTTCTTTCTTCTCCCCTCTCTATCCGCATTTCCCGCATCCTAATGATCACGTGGTTTTCTGCTGTCTCCCTATCTTTCTCATCCAGCAACATTTCCTCCAGGGTCCTCAACACTTCTTCTGTGTCAAATTTCACCTCACCATCAACCACGGCACTGCCTGCCAGCCTATCAGCCTCCTCATTGCCCTTCACTCCAGAGTGCACAGGACAGAATACCCACGTGATGGCTCTAAGTGATGAGTGTTGTATTGGGTTTACCCATTCACTTCGAAGAAGCCTTTTTCAACCCTTCGCAGGATGCTCTGGGAGTCTGTGACAATAATGAGATGGGTAGTTCTTGGTCTTGTATTTTGAAGCCATCCTAGCGCTCTTGTTACAGCCTCAATCTCCATTGTCATGGTTGAAGTTGTTCTTCCTATGGCCCCTGACATGCTGTGAACCTTTTTGTTCTCTTAGTACACCACAAAACCCCACCCACTTCTCTATCTCTCTTCTTGACCGATCCATCCGTATAGATCACTGGGTCCTCTGGCTTGGAATGCTCCTCAATTAATTGTCGTATGTCATTGTCGTTAATGACAGCAGCACATTCCCGTCTTTCACCACCCATAGTGATGTGAACGTTGGCTAGGCTTCTGCAATCGGGGCTCAGTTCAAACCATTCCTTTCCACAGCATATTTCATCGATGTCACAAACTGTTCTCAAGGTGTCTTCGGCTTCTGCCATCCATGAACTGCCCCGTTTGATCATGTTTCCTTTGATGCTGCTTAGGTTGTCATGCAAAGGGTGCCTCGGGTCTCCCAAAACATTCAAGTACAGCTTTGCCTATGCCACCTCATGCCTCACTTTGATGCTGGCCAGGTTAAGGATGTATCTCATACAGACAATATGGGTGTCCTTTGTGCGACCCAGAACAACCCTCATAGCTGCATTATGTACTCTCTCCAACCTGTCTATCTGAGCCTTGGACAGGGAGAGGATACCCAGACCATAGTCTATGACTGACAGAACAACCAGCTACATCAGGAGAAAAAGAACTCTCTGCCGAATTCCCGCGGAAGCCAAGGTCTTCACTACATTGATGCCCTTCTGAACCCTGACAGAACATTGTCAATATGTTTTCGGAAAGAAAGTGTCCTGTCCGGAGTGATTCCCAGGTACTTCAACTCATGCTGTCTGTCTATGAGAAAGTGGTCAAATCTCAAGTGGAGTGGCAGGATCTTTCACAATACGGTTGTTCAGTGAGCACCAGATGACCAGTGCTTTGTCTGGATTGATGACCGAATTGTATTCCTCACATCAATCTGCGACCTTGCTCAGCCTGTCCTGTAGCATCCGTCTAACCGCTAGCCTATCACGACCTTTTCCTTAGACCATCGCATCATCTGCAAATGTTAGGATTCTTCCTGCTCCACTTACCTATATCCTGGCAATTTTGGACGTGTTTATGTTGAACAGAATCGGTGATAAGGCTGACCCTTGTGGCAGTCCTGAGACAATCACTACTGGGTGTGACATCAATCGCCCACTTCTCAGCGCCACCTTCCTCTCAAACAGAGCCTCAGGGGTCCATTGTACCAACCAGGGGTCAACATCCATTTCCATCAGGAGATCCTTGAGCTTGCCGTAATCAACTCGGTTGTAAGCATCCTCTAGGTCTATTGCAGCCATTGCTGTCTCCTCCTTTCTCTGGAACCTTCAAATGCATCAAAGACTAATACTGCCCTGTTTGTGCAGGTGTCTATCCCTGGTCTGTAGCTTCCAAGGCCGTCTGGAAGGAGCTTTTTCCTCTCTAGGTAATTTACCAGTCTTTTGGCCACAATCTTTTCCAGGATCTTTCCATACGTGTTCTGCATGGTGATGATTCTGTATCCCTTGATGTTGGAATGGTCTTTGCCTGGTTTTGGAAGAGGCATGAGGTAGCTGTGTAGCCACTCCTCTGGGATCTTGCCTTTCGCCAAACTCTCGTTGAAGTCCTCCACCATACCCTGTAGATCTTCTTCATCTGCATCCTTAAAATGGCTGTATCTCACCCCATCAGGCCCTGCTGCACTATCCATCGTTCCGCTTATTACCCGCGTCACTTCCTGTATTGTGACACCCTCTCCATACAGCACCTCTGGCACAGGGGTTTTCATAATTGCCCTGATGTTATCGCGCTCCTCCATGTTGCCTTGGTGAGTCTGCTTGATGTACCTCTCAAGGAAAGCCCGGCCTTTTGCTTCATCTGTCTCCAGTAGTCTATCGTTCTCATCTTTAGCAGACAGAGAGCCAGTGTCAGTCCTTAATCCCTTCATTTTTCTGTGCAATTTCCAGAACCTGTGTAGTGCCTTCTCTGATGACACCTCGGTCACGTACTGCTCCCACCGTTCCTGCTTGGCCTCATTTGCACTTTCCCTGAAAAGCCGCCCGTCTCTTTTCATTCGCTCTTCTCCTCGTCTGATACCTTATCTGATTTACTCGCCTTATGCCATGCTCTTGTTGACCTTCTCTTCTGTAGCCACAGCTCTTCAAGCACAGGATTCCAATAAGGCGGCTGGACAAAGTTGGATTTAGTTGCGCGTGATGCCCCAGCCTTTCTTTTTTTTTTTGCAGTACAGTAGAGCCACTGTCATTTCCATATCTGAATGGCTTTTTTCATCTTTCAATTTTCATCATTCCCCTCGTGGCAATTGATCATTACGGAACAAGGCAGATGGTCGTTTCCATGGTCTGTCAGAGCCTGCCATTTAGCAAGGACCTCCGAATCTGCTGTAATCAATGCCAAATCTATGTTTGAATCATCCTCTCCTTGGCGCTGTGCGACCTTTGTCATGTGTATTCCGTTGAGGATGGAAAAACTGCTCTCTATCATAGCCTTCTCCAGCGCCTTTCCTTGAATATTATTTTGTACATTTCCCCATGTGACACTCCTGGCGTTGAAGTCCCCCACGATCATCACCCTTTCACTCAGTTGGCTGAGCTCCTCCAGGAAGTCCCAATCTTCCTCTATCCTGGCACTGTCATTGCCCACATAGATGTTGACAAGCGTCCATTTCCTCTTCCTCACCTCACACTCCATAATTTCTACACGAATCCATGTAGTGAGACCCATCATGGACAACTAATATTAGTCAAACAGTGTGTTACACACAGACTGATTGACGCGAAGCGATTCAACAGGGAGGGCATCGGGGTTATTTACTGGTGACCACTCCAACGTTGATTCGATTTGGTGTTCCAAGAGTTATCTAGTGGCATTGGCCTTGTGAGAAGGCTCTTTGCTATGCTTGAACTACAGAATGACGAAAATAAGGGTAAGACATGGCGTTCTCGCACTTGCGCGATGTAGGCTACTAACCCAAGACGTCCTGTAATTCTCACGAGGAGATTCTGTTCATTCCACCCTGGACCACCTAAAAACTTGGCAGCTTCGTGGCCTCTGTTTCTCAAAGACAAATGATTATGTTTAAAATCTAAACTAACACAGTCCATGTGCATAAAGGGTTTCGTGCTCGACGAAACAGTTAGCTCCAAAACAAACGCAAAATGAATACTAAAGAACACATTGTCATGTTATGTTAAGTCCAGGTTTTGTGTGGTATTTGTAACTTATCTGTTTGAAAATATCATCAGAAGATGCTGTTCATTGCAAAGACAATAGCATTCTCTTTTCATTTGATAGCCAATACATGTCCATTCCGCCAATGTTGATATACTTCAATATACGCGCGAACACTTTTGCGTTTCACCGATTTCGCACAGTTTTGCAAGCCTGAGTTCTTAATTGAGGTCAATTTGGAGAGACTATAAATGTTATTATCTTGGGCGTCTCTAACATAGATGAAATATTAATGTGGGAGATGATGCAGAGAGAGAGAGAGAGAGAGAGAGAGAGAGAGAGAGAGAGAGAGAGAGAGATTTGGATCTCTGTTTTGTGCGACATCCAGTGAGTGTTAAATACATGTTCACACCTCAAACAAAAGATAGAATTAGTATAGATGTCTGCTGTGTTGAAGTTTTGCTTCTCAAAAATATTATTCAATACATGAAACACACTGTCCGAAGTCATCCCTTTTCGACCGAAGTTTCCCTCATGTATATCTGATGTCTCCCACAGAGTGGGTTGGTTTCGGACATCTTAGGGTATCTTAGATACGATACTCTGACAGTAAAACGTGACGATGCTCAAAGCTGATATCGCAAGTGCTAATGCCCAAATGGCTTAAACTTATGATGAGACCTTTTCTTAGGTTTAAATTGTTCCTGAAGCGAGCAGTGGAGCCAAACGTAAAAGAGTGTACGAAGCCTCCCCGCTCTCCCCTATATATACCGAGTTGCAAAAGTTCTGCCACACCCACCTTAAAAGTGCAAAAACTCGTTTACTATTCAACATAGCTAAGAGAAATTTGGTACACGAGATCTTTATTCATTTTCTGCCAACATGACATTAAAAGAATTGACAAATGTCTTTCTTTATTGACGGGAGAAAATTTTATTCACACTGACACTTGCAATATCCAAATCAAAGTTTGCTGAGAATGGCGTGTGGCCTCTTCCAGCTTGAATTACAGATACAAAACATCTGTTTGTTGACTGAATTAATGTCCTTATGGTTGTCTGAGGAATCCCCTGCCATTCCTTGTGAAGTGCAGTCTTCAGTTCCTGAAGAGTTTATACGAAGTGCGGCCTGTTTCTAATCCTCCAGGCAAGGCCATCTTACAGATGTTCTGTTGGGATAAGGCTTGTTGGTCTTGAAGGCAAGTCCAGAACAACGATTTGATGAGTTTGGAAGGAGTTTTCACCGATCGTAGCCATTTGTGTTCTCGTGTTGTCTTGTTAGCACGTTTCATCATCTGTGCCATGTGGGGCAGTCACCGTGACGAAGCATTTCGTCTCAATACCGTCGTACTTTCAAGCTGCTTTGAAAAGTAACCAAATGTGTATGATAAAGAGAAGAAATTCCACCCCATACCATCACATTTCAGCCACCAATTCGGGCCTCTTGGGGGACGTTGGATTTGGGAAATCTCTATCCTCTTCTTTTAAACACTTTTTCTCTTCCATCAATGCCACGAATTAAAAACTTTAACCTATGCTTAAAAGAACACTTCACCATCGTCTTTAGTTTCATCGCCAATGTTGTACCAAAATTTGGTGATTTGTTCGAAGAAACAGGGTTAGATTGTCTCCACGCAAAGGATGATAATCACGTAATCCACGATCTTATAAGTCTAATAATGGTATTTTGATAGAGTCCAAAGCACCTTTCAGTCTATGCTTTTAGTTGGAACGGATTTCGTACATGGGTAAATTCTGACGTCGAGTTATCGCCCTTTGTTGGCTTGGTCAAGGCTTGCCTTGGACAGTTCTAGTGGTGTTAAAACGTTTGTTCAGGAGTTAGATGGTTCTTCTACACACATTTACGTGTCTTGCAACAGCAGAAAGCGCAATTAAAGAATTTATCATACCCGCGGCCCCTTTATTTTCTGAATTTATCTGGGGGGTTTTATTTTGAAAAAAACAACAACAACAAACGGTGGAAAAGTACCCAACCGTTAAAAAGTACGGAATTTCATAGTGTGTAAGGTGTGTTTATACATTGTCCACGTGATTCAAAACAAATGTTGTGTGTAGGAAGCGTTGATTTCAATGTAGACCTTGAGAAATCAATACCAATACTTTGTCCATGCACCACTTCCGGTTTATGATTTCTTTCGTCTGCTTTTGCACAAGGAGTCTCATAACGAGGGTACGATTCCAAAAAGTCTTATCTAAAATTTGCTACTTTTCAGGAGACGAAAAAAACTGTTTTATTTCCAAACGGTTAGAGATACCGGTTTCATTTTTTGCATGTGAGCCTCAAAATACAGTCCACGCTCGTGCTTCTAATGAGCTTGGGGCTGCCTATGCCACTTTTCCTGTAATGATGAGTTACGATAAACTGCAAATCGAAACTTGCAAGCAAACTGTAGTAACTCAAGTTACGACAGTCAGATGTTGAAGACAAAGTGTCGTATCTTGAGTTACGACTTTTTGTATTCCAAATTTCGACAGACAGGGGTATTGCAACTCCAGATACGACAGTTTTATTGCCAAATCTCAGTATATTTCTCTTACTTACAAGTATTTACTACTTTTAGGAATGAAAATAAACATTCCAAAGGTGCAACAGCTTTATTTTAACGCTTTACCAGAGTTGAACTACTAACAAACGAACCTCTTTGTTACGGAAAATCAAAATGCAGAGGGATGCATGCCGCTCAGCAGTGGAACAGTCACAAATGATTAGATCTAATGGTATGGGTCATTTAAAACATGAAGATGATTAGGCTTGAACGTAATTAAAACGTACTTGTTTTCAATGCAGTTTATGTCAAGGGCGCACAAGACCCTTCAATTCAGATCTCTTATACTTGGAATGAAGCTTCATCAGAGTATAAACAAACACATTAGGGTGATGCTTCCACCTCAATTAGATTTCAGTTTAAAAAATAGCTGAAAATTGAAAATTCGACAAGAAGTAAAACTTAAATTCTGAACGTATAGAATATTATAAAAAGCATGTAAGCATGAACTTATTTATGATAGGTTCTACCATCAGTTGGTCGGGGGGATATACATAGACCCACTGCTTCGTCTGCAGGAGGTGTAACCAATTCAAAGACGAGGTGTCGCACACGGATCTCAACCCTCTGGGATCCGGATGCGACACCGACTTTGGTGCTTCTTCCTTTTCTCCTTCCTCCTTTCTTTCTTTTTCTATCTTTTCTCCCACCGCTAACCTCAGGTGCAGCAAAAAGAGAGGTCACCCATCCCACAGAGTGGGCGCCTTGTTGACCGTGAGGTGCGATCCGTGTGGAGGGAAACAGGGTACCTGGCGGTTGGCGAGAGATTAGTCTACGGACTCGCCAACACACTTCTTTGACCCAGGTTTTCCTCTTACACGGGAGGGTGGCACGGCCCATGCCACTCGATCGGTTGGGAGTTGGAACTACTTCAAGCCCTGGGTCAATCTTGACAGGAGGGTCCTGTGCGCTCTCGTGGAGAGTATAGCTCCGGAGTATCCCTGGCACAGCTCTGGTCATCCGAGCAATGTGTCCCCTTGTTGGGCTCGATCATGGTGGAGAACCAATAAAAACACTCACATGGAACCTTCATTAAACAAAAACCCTTCCCCAACTCTCAACGGTATTAAAAAATCTCGCTCGCGGAAGCAGGTGCGACCGCCGAGCCGAGCAAACCTACCCCAAACGGAAAAAGGACCTTTACGGCTGCCTCTGCCCTCCCCCTCTCAGAGACCTCCCGCGGCAGCTGTACTTGACCATCCGCCACACCGATGCGTAGAAAAAGATCACAGATCTCAACCATTTTAAAGCAGGAGATGCACTACGACAGGTTCTGGGATACATTCCTACGATTGTCCAGAAACTGTCTTCTGGTG